AAATATATATATATATATATAAACATACACACATATATATGCTGATTCAAGTACATGGTAATAATTCTAGAAACTCAAAGTCACGGTAGTAGTTATTGTGACTGGCTACTGGGACTTAATTCAGCAGTTGGTAGAAACATTAGGCTTACTTTTTTAGATTTTAGTCATATAATATGGTGTCTAGTAAGATTTTCTTTTTTTTTTCTAGTGTGTATGTAGTTTTCACTATGGCTTTGTCTTATCTGACTATAGAGGTATGTGGAAACTATGAGGAAAAAACACATTTCAAGTGCAATCACTAATGATAGTGTCAGGGACCAAGGCAATAAAATAGGAAGTAGTCAGCCATGAAATGGCCATGATGTTATCAATATTCCTAATACGTACTGTGGTGTCAGTAATTTAGAGATTGAAGCTGTTTGTTCATAGTAGTAAACACTAGCAGAGGATCCAGCCCTTTGTAAATCTGCTCTGTTGAGCAAAGTATCAGGGGAGTTCCTTTCTAGAGACTGAAGGTATGGCTAGTCCTAAAGTGGACGAGGAGGAATGTACTGATAATTGCTGCTTCTGCACAGAGTACATGCTACACTGCCAAAAAGCACTATGGTGAGAAGGCAGCTAAAATCAGGGCACTGAAATAAGACTCTTTCTGTTTGGCTCAACATAAACTAGAGGAATCAAACATACTGTAAATACAGTAATGGTTGGGTGCTTGCAGGCAGTAGGTTTTTGACTTGCATCCCTAAATTCATTTGTCTGGCTCTAACCAGGCTAACAACAAGCTACCCTAAAACTATGCCACTTTCTAGTACATGGGATTGCCTGGCTGAACCTTAGCAGAAATAATAAGCAGTTCAAGTGGTTGCTTTGCCTTAGATTAGGGAAATTGTAGGGGGAAAGCCTTCCTGTGAGCTCCTGCTTTATTTTCAGCAATAAGCTGATTGCCTAATCCAGGCTTATATTTTGGTCACTTAATGTTATTTTTTTAGAATTGGACTTTTAGTGGGGTGGGAATCCTGACTTCTAATTATGGCTGTTAACGTATCTTAATCTGTCTTGCAGCTTGACTCTGAAACTCTTGACTTTCTTAACCCATTCAGAAACTTGAATAATGTAATGCCTGGGAAAAAGTATTTGGTTTCATTTTTCAAGTTCTGAATGATCTCAACATGGAGACCTGAAAGTGCTTGTAAAAACTCCCTGCTTCTGATCTGGGATTTCCTAATTCTGTGGCTTGTGGCTCTGAAGTCAGGCCTTGTACAGAAGCTGCTTCGTTTTGCTTTATGCTTCAGTATAGCATCTCAATGTGCTAAGCATATGTACAGGCTAGCTGAAAGTAGCCCATTCACAAATAATGTGTCCTTGTGATTCTTCTAGACATGCAACTGATTACAGGCAAGTTTGGATCTCAGATGCTTCCACATGAGAAGAAAAGATTTCTCTAATTTCTTTCCGGTTGCATTTTCTGGCGCGAAAGCTCCAGAGGTAGCCTTTACATGGCAAAATGCCAGCTTTGTTTAATTCTCAGTCAAATAGCCTTTTTCTGCTGCAGAGTTGTGGCTGCAAAGCAGGGTTGAGAGGTTTGAGGTGGTCTTTAGGGTGTACAATTTCTGCATGACTCGTGCTTGGTGCTAGTGGGGGGAGTATAGAGACTGTAAATGGTGCTCCAAGCTCACCTTTGTGCTGTGGCTGTCTTGGGGTAACGCCATGAGGGTTAGACAGGTTTGAGAGCAGAGGATTACTGAAAGGAATGAGACCTGTTGCCTCATCCCTTTGACCACGTATGTGAGATTTAAACATAGGAACACTGATACTCTGCTGGCAATATTATTCTTTAGAGCAACCTAGAAACGAAGCCTGTGTATAGATGAAGACACGCATATAGGTTCTGCCAAGAAATCTTGTAGCTAGCTAAATCCTGAGTTTTGTTGTCTCTTACATTTTTAATCTCGATCCTTGGGCTGTGTTATGCCTCAGATCTGACGAAACTTAAGCATGTAAGCTCAAGAATGGGCTTTCTTGGGAAAATCCCAGTGGTCCAAAAGAAGTTTGCAGCTACGCGATGCAGGCATTTGTGCTGACGTAAGTTTGCCCTACCCTTGGTAAATCTTCACTCTGTTCCAGAGCCAAGGTGCTTCCTTGCTGCAACAGCTGCTTTTTCTTGTAGTTGTCTGGTGATAGCAGGCATTTACTTTGGAGCAATGCCATTTGTGTAGCTGACCTTAAACTGTGGGCTAAGATTGTTTTAAGCCGGTCATGAATCTCTTGGTTGTGAATGTGCCATGGCAAATTACCATGGTGTAAGGACTTGATGCTGCCACACTTCTGTGGCATACTCGTGTACAGGCATAAGTACAAGTAGATATGTGAAGAACTGTAGACATATCGGCTACTGAGCTTTCCTTCAAGTTGAACAGAAGACCTTCTGTGCTGGGCTACCTGGCACTTAAATTTTAGGTTACGATGCCAAGGTGTGTGCTAATCTGTAAGTGAAACTGTAGCTAGGTACTTAGTAGGTCAGTAAGCCTGTTTGTTTGCCTGCCTGCTTACGTATCTGAGATTTCCGATTAAAACGTCCCATAGTTGGATGCCCTGTTGAACGGGGACTGTGGTGTGCCTTTTCGAGTTGAAGGGGGTGACCATTGGCTCTACGCTTACTGTGTGTGACTTGCTCTTTCTGGATTTGTTTTGCATTCCCTATTGCACATGAGCGCAGCTGTAGTACAGTGGGCAGAAGATGCTTCAGTGGAGAATACCCCTTGGCGTGGTGGTTGGGACTCTTGGCACGTTGAACCAGTGCCAAGGGGAGGACTTCTGCTTCAGAGCGCAGAAAACAGAGTGCGAGTCCCCCTGCTTCTCCTGAGTCTCTGGCCCTTAATCATTTCAGATTCAGCCACTCTTCCTGCTGTCTGGCTTTTGGAGTGTCCTGAATCCCAGGGTAGCACAGGAAGGTTCATACCCACTGCTGGGGTCTCTGCAGTCTTTGCACAACTGACTCGGCTCAGAATTTTGCCCCACAGCTGAGTGCTGACCGCACAGGTGCTGGAAGGTCATGTTTGCCGTCAGAGCCCGTCAGTATTTGGTTCATCAGGGTACAGAGGCTTATTAAACATACACAAACAATATTCAGACTTGTTAAATGTTTGTTGTGGCAAGAAACCTAATATTAGGAATCCAGGTAGCTGCATCAGTTTAAACTTTCACACGAAAAAGGCAAAAACCCTTGAGTTTCAATTGAGCAAGTGTTTAACCCCCCCACCATGCGCGCGCACACCCACACCCACTCATACACACAAAGTGATTTAAAGTCTTTGCACTAGCATGCATAAAACAAGCCTTTTAACCTCAGCACATGTTTTTAGCCTACTTCTGAACCCAGCAAGGAACAATTGTATTTTAAGTACCAGCTTTTTAAATTTATTTTTAGTGTTGAAAAACAGTTAATGGATAGTGCTGCTTGAATTGGAACATGATAAATACCTTTCAGATGGTTTTCTGAGCATTGCCAGCCCAGGTCAGTCCTGGGGTCAAGATTTTGTTGTTGTTCAGTTAGTGCTTTTGTTAATTTAAAAAAAAAAAAAAATCTATAGAGTGAAACAAACTACTTAATTGCCTTAATTGAAATTATTTTTTCTGACTTTTCACTCTAAAGGTAGCCTGTTGTTTTCTCTTCATTCTGTTTCACAGTGACTAAAATAATTCTACTTTTTGCAGGCTCACATTAAATTTCCTATTGACTATCCCTATTCACCACCTACCTTCAGATTCCTGACCAAAATGTGGCATCCCAACATTTATGAGGTAAGATTTCTTTTTTTGTTGTTGTTTTCCTTCAAACTAATGAATTTCTCTTCAGGCGAGAATGTGTTCTAATTATAAAAATTTAGGGTATTGAAGGTATTAAATATCTCTAGCCATGACCAAAATGGCTAGTTGTTTATGTTAAATGTCAGCTTCATGGTTGAGCAGTCAAATCTAAACTTTGGAGGAAGTGCTGTTTTTTCTGGGAGGGATGGAGCCTTTCTCATACCTGCAGGCACAGCAGGCAGTCCCAGCTGAAGCACTGTGCCGTGGCTTGGCAATTGGGAGAGTTCTTGTAGTGGGGGGTCTTATCCTGCTGCGATAGTTTGGCAATTAGTAACTATACATAGTATTCAAGTATGCTTTCATTTGAACTTATTCTGCAAATAACTTGGGTAATGGAAACAAAAAATATCAGGAATTTGAAACTGTTTCTTACAGCAATTGATCTACAAACAAAAGGATTTGGGGACCCAGGGCACTCCCAGTAAGAAGTCTGAGCTAGGCTAGAGTCACGCTTCCTCATATTTCCCTCTTCTGCCCCTGAGAGCCTTTCACTCTTTGTGGTCCCCCATCTCCTGGAGAAGTCATGCTCACCCTGGCCACCCTTCAGAAAGGGTGGACAGATACCTCTGGATTTAATGTTTATTAGCCAATTTAGAGTGACCCTTAGTTAAGTGCATGTTTGGGGTGTGTTTGGAGGATGTAATGCTGTGTGCTGTAGGTCTATGATTGGATCACAGTGCACGTAGGCAGCAGCTCCCTAGAGGAGAATGATTTTATATAAATGCTCTTTAGAAAGCAACATTCCCCAGCCTGAAAGCATGCCTAGTACAGGCTGTTTGGAGAGATTTGGGATAAGGTCAAGATAGAGCTGAGTGCTGGGGACGTGCTGCGATGAGGACATCTGTTTTAAAGCAGGAGCGTGCTGGTACGTCTTGGTATAGCGCAGTGCTCTGGTGCATTAGCTTAGGACCTGATGCTGGCCCAGCTGTGCAAGTGCTGCAGTGCTCAGGCTAGCCTGTGCCATTGCTTGGGCAACCACATATCTGTGAGGCTGTTCTGTTTCTGAGACTGATTTTATCTGGTGTTTTCTCAGGGATCTTTACCATGTGTTGCGCAGTGTGAATAGACCAAGTTATACTCCTTGCTAGGTTTTCACATATCAAGTGGCCTTTACAGTTTGTCCTGGAGCCTGGTTGAATTGAGCTGTTATGTTGAAGAGCCCATGTTGAGCAGCAGCTCAAGACAGGGTCTAGTAGTGCTGGTGCAGAGATGTTGTCAGAACGTCTTTCATTATCTGGATACAGTATTGTTTCTAATCTCAGTACTAAAAATTCAAAATTACCAAATTTAATAGAGCTATATTTGGAAGTTGAAGGCCCATTTTTGGATCAAGCTTGAGTTAAGCTTTTAGCGGCAGCCAGTCAAATCCACACTGAATACTTGGATGTTCCAAACAAGCGTCAGCTTGTCAGAGCTGCTAGTTGAGTAGTTTCTTATGAGGGCTGAAGGCATTTAAAAATGTTTTTGTTGGTACACCTATGTCATCTTATCACATAAGAGATTCAGAACACTTCCTTTAGCTCTAGTTCAAAATAGGAATGTCACTTTTCCTCACTACAATCAGTGGCTTTGGATGAAGCCTTGGGCTTGGAAGGTTCTTTTCTAACAATTTGCTGCTGCTGCTAAATGTCCAACCTGGAATGAGCGTACTTCAGGTGTGACAGTAAAAACTTGATTTTTTTTAAATCTGAGCTTGCTCTGATTTAGGCATAAATTGCCAAAAGCTTCTCCAAACTTCACTAGAAAACAGGATAGTAATCTGCTTTAATTCCTGGATGCTCAGGAGGATTGTGTTATGCCCAGGGGTCATCCTGAAATCAGTTGTCTGACCATCTTCTCTGACTTCAGTCTTGGACTTGACACAGAATCTAATGTATAGTCAAGGATGATGTTTCTGTTTCAGCTACATGGGAGTTTGATTTATAAATAAAGAAAACTTTGAGACCTGCAGATTATTGCAGCTCCATACTGTAGATGCTGTTTCTGAATCCAGAAATTCTCATGTAGGAGGTGAGTGGGAAATGGTTATGTTACCAAAACAGTATGTACAAAAACTGAATCTTGGAAAGGGCCTTTCCCGGTACTGGTGGGAAAGGCAAAAAATTGGCTCCAGAAACAACTGAAGGTAGGAGGGGAAACTAACCCAAAACTTGATGGGTATATTTTGGAGTGACTCTTCAAATACTGCCATGAACAAAAACTACAAAGCTGAGAGCTGGGGTATTTCTTGGAGCTGAGGGAATCTGAAGCAGCTTGCAGGCTCTTTTGGAAACAATGTCCAAGCAATGAAGATGGGGGGCACTGGGATGACTGCAAATGAAACTGAGAATAAATCAGCAAAGGGCTTGAGGTTTGAGGGTTTGTTGGGGGTGGGGGAGGGGAACCTCTCAGTATAATGAAGATGAAAGAAGGTAGCAGTTTGCAGAATCTGCTGGTGAGACCAGAAGGAGAGGTTAAGGCTGACATTCTACTTCTAAGCAATAAGACTTGAGTAACTTGTGTGTTTTCTGTATCTCCAGTTTACTCAGGCCATCAGTTCAATTTTGGTCAAACTGCGTTTAATACTAGGTTTTATTTTTAGTAAGGTAACAAGGCCTTCCAGTTTTGTCCTAACAGAAGTGTATTTCGCCTGCTTTGTTTGTTCCTCCTGCAGATGAGTATACCATCCTCCTTGTTTATGTCTTTCAAAAATATGCAGAGGATGGCTGTCCCCTTGATTACACTGATGCATAAAAACCCATGTTGATCTCTCCAGGTCCCGTGGCACTTTTGCTCTTCCAAGCTGTCGTGCAGTGCTGCCCTATTTGAATTCCAAAGCACCTAACGTTATTTCAAGAGAAAAACTGTTTACTGCTTTGTTTCTCTTGTGTTTCATATGGCAAAATATGTTGGCCCACATTCTGAATGCTTACCTGATCGTATGAGGAACTTCCCCCCAGCGTTAGGGTGCTTTCTTATGGTCAGCAGTGCTGTATTCTCCCAGGAGATATCTAGAGAAGAAACCGTAAACTAACGGCAATTAGGAATAAAACCAGAATAGTCCATAAACAGAATTTCACATTGGTAAGCTTAATTTTACCTTGAAGTGATATTAATAAAGACAGATTGGACAAGACTTTTTAGGACCTCAGAAGGAAAGCATTCTGTTTTTTAAAACTGTTCCAGCAAGGTAGATGTATGCTTGGGTATTCAGCAGCTCCAGGTGCTACTTTGGTGTTCATAGTTATGACAAATTGACAAAGTTAGACAAAAAGCTGCTTCAGAATGACAAAGACTTGCTAGATTAGCATAGCTGGCAGGGTTAGCAAGCAGCTGAATTCTAGATACTGATCACAAGCCTCCAACATTGAAGCAGGATCTCAGCTGACTATAAAAACAAATGTTACTGTTAATCACGGTGAGGCTCTTCAGGTGAGTTGTTGCTATCTGTAGCTGTGATCACTGGCTCAGGCTCAAAGGCACGGATAATGCTACTGTGAGCAGCACTGCTTTGAACCCCAACTTCTGTGGGTAGAGCAGTGTTGGAGGGTGCTCAGGACATATCTAAGACTTTGTGCTTGGGGTGTTGCCGGTTCGTAGTGTTGAACAAAACTGATCTGAAGTCTCCCTTGTTCCTATAATCAGCTTTTATCTTAGATCAGGGTGACAGGGGACAGCATGAAAGTTACCCATCAGCTGAGGCTGTCACCTGATGGTATAGGACTGCATGTCCTTGTGAGTAATTTGAGTAGCTGACTGCAAGAGGAAGCAAGCCAGCAGGGCTTGGTGAGGCCAAGATCTGTTAGATGGCCTTGGGCCCCATCTGCACCTTCACTCCATCCTGCAGTAAGGTATTGGTACCCTGGGAACCATTGGAGTCAGCTTCAATGGAAGATATTGGCCATGAGGAATACTGCTACAGTACTCCTACGTAGTAATAGCATCCTAGAGTGCTGTTACTGATAGAAAATTGGTGTTACAGGCTGCTTGAAGTGTTTATAAATGGTAGGCATTATGAAGCTTTAAATCTATATTCAGGCCATAACACTGTTAAGTAAGACACAGATTGAGGATTATGTGGCTGTATGGCTTCCATATGGTGCCAAAATATTCTTCCTCTTGCATGCTGGAATGGATTTTTAGAGAAACCCTCAGAGCATCTCCTGCTTTTTCACCTGATATTTCAAACAACTGTGCCTAAGGAGGGGAGCGGCTTAAGCCTGCCCCTCACCATCTGTTCAAACCTTCTTATGTCCCAGGAGAAGTATTGCTTTGATAGCTGGGCTAGTGTAGAGTGCTAAACCCTTGGATTTAAAGATTCCTGTAGCTAACTCAGTTACTGCTGGGGGTGGGGGGAGAAGGAATTTAACCCTAATTTAGGTCTCATGTAGCTACAGCTAACTTTACTTTTATCACTGTGTAACACTTGTGTTCTAGAGACCAATTTAGCTGTATGCAAAGTGTGTGTGTTTGGTTTGTGGTATTTTTTTGTTTTGGGTTCTTTTTCCCTTTGCCACATTATTTAAACCTGTTGACCTCTAATTGTTTTGTACCCCTTTGCAGACCAATCCTGCTTTTAGGAAGAGGAGGCTCTTGAGCCTATAGACACAACAGACCTAGGACGAACTGAGAGCTGTTCCAGCTCTTCCATATTTTTACTGGTATTTGGGGGGCTTCCATATGCACACAGTTTTAGTTGCTCAGAACATAGCCAAAGTGGTGGAAGTCAGTCATCAGACCTTACCTCAAGCAAGCCTGTGTTCAGCTTTTATTTTTGTCTTGCAGAACGGAGATGTATGTATTTCAATTCTTCACCCACCTGTAGATGACCCACAAAGTGGAGAGCTGCCATCTGAGAGGTGGAACCCTACCCAAAATGTCAGGTAAAAGCGTGGAAAAGGTGATGCGCAACAGTTGCCTCAAAGGCCAGTCATCTCTCTCTCCTTCCTAGACTAAACCCTGTGTTGGAAAAAAGACTTGGAAGGGAATTTAAGACTTTAGGGGCTTTAGGGCTTGAGTCGGGTAGAAGCCAGACTTCCCCAGTTGCCTCTTTAGATGCTACAGTGCTGTGTCCTGAGGCTGGGCTAACAATGCAGACTTCTGTCCTGTTTGCAATTTTTCATATTCTTAAAGCAAATTATCTCAAATGTTCTAGTCTTTTCCAGTCCATGTTATCTTACACTTAAGTTAACCAGACTCCTCTAAGATATGATCAGATAAGATATGATAAGAGATGGGAAAGAATGTCTTTGAGTTTTCAGGCCCAGTAAGAATAACTTTTTACCTAATCCTACACAATGTTTGCCTTCTAATACTTGTCCCCATTTCCTTCTCTACAGTATGGTGTCCTGAACAGCTAGGTAGTTTTCTTTCACTGCCAAAAACTGAAGGAATCACAAGGTACCAAAGGCATTCAAGACTAACATATTTCTTTAAAACATCTCAACTATGATTTTCATTTCCTTTGCAAAACACCTCTAATAAATGACCGATAAAAGTAGTGTCAAATAGCACGTGTGGGGGGAGGGGGAAAAGGGGAAGGGGGGGGGGGGGGAGGGGGAAGGTTGGAGCAAAGCTTTGCCCTGTTCTAACTCAGATTCCTTATCCAGATAAGGTTAAAATGATTGCGTCTACTTCAGATTTTTAGGTTATCACATGAGAATTCTACTTCTTTTCAGAATGATTTTCTAGATGGTAGTCCCCAACTCTAAACCCCCGTTTTTAATTGGTAAATCAAGCTAGGAATCTCAGCTCATAAGAGGGAATGCAGCTATCTGAAAAGGGTTGTCTGACAGTTTGATTCTGCTTTTATCTAATTTGGTTTGATAACGCTCAATTGAAAAGAGCCTTTGTCAAAGCAGAGCTCTAGCAAAGGGGATTTATTGGATTCTTGACCCTTGGAATAGGATTGTAACGCACACTACAAAGTGCTGAACTAGAACTAATGTGGCAGGAAACTAGCAAAGGTAACAGTCAGCAAATTATAACAACTGATATTCCCTCCTGGAGTGTACTACTTCAAGGTTAAGAAGGTTCAAGAAATGATGTGTCTTTGTTGCATGAAGTTCTGAAGAGTAGGGAATCTTACACTTAAAAGTTAAAGGTCGTCATTTTCCGTTCAATCTGTCTCAAGTACAGCAAGTATGAAGCAGCCTCTGAAAAGTTCTAGTCCAGGTTTTAAAAAAAAACAACAAAAAAAACCCCTTAAATTCAGTTTTAAACTTTATATTGCTGAGCTGTGTTTACCTGTTCCACTGCTCACGTGGCTATTAAACTGGTTTTCTTAGATTTGACATAATCTGCTTTGGTTGTTAGGACTAGCTGGCAAGCTTGCATTCACAGTTACGAAGCAGCTTATGGTACTGATTGTTTAGATCACGTAAACGCTTTGAGTAGCTCGTTATATAGAGCCCGGAAAGCTGGACATGAAATTTCTCATCTTGCTAATTCTCCTATTCCTGCTTCTCCTCACTTTGGTACATTCTTTGACGCTTACTCTCATGGAATGTTTTAGGCTTAAGAGTGACATTTCTGTGGGAAAAAAACGTTCCTCGGATATATCAGCAGGCACAGATAAAAATTGTACTTAACTGTTAGCCCACTGAACTTACTCACTGTCACTTTGCTTCCTGAGCATGCCCGTTTTTGTTGGCTTTTGGCTGCCATAATGTATTGAACTGGTTGCAGAGTGCTGCCCAGATCAAATATCTCTATCAATGTAGTCCAAGCCAAGTCCTTTCACTTTGGAGAGTAAAAATGTGCTATGCCAAATCTACACCTATGTCTGGAGATGGCTGTAAGAAGCCACAGTGTGGATTAAAGCTGGAACAGAATCCTTTTCAACAAGGCTGCATTGTTAGGGAGCCCCCAAACTTCAGTCTTCCTAAATGTCTGTTTTGGTTTGGATGAAATTCATCCATCTGAGCTTGTCATGCCCTTCTGTTGATATATGGAGAGAAACGGGCACTGGTCAGGCCTGATTCCTTGAACCTGCTGGTTTCTCTTCACTGATGCTAAAGGGATCTCGAGTGACTAGTTCTGATGAAGACAGCAGAACTGTAAACCTTTAAAGCAAAATGGCATGACTATTGATAGGGTATAGCTGACAGGGTAACTGGGGAGGGACGAAGGTAAGAAAACAGAAGGGAGACTTGAAATCCCCACTCTTTATCCAGACAACTTGCATATATCTAGCCTGTGAGAAACATCCCCAGGAATATTGCATAGGTCAGTTTGTCTCCTGTCAGTGCAGTTAGTGTCCAGTGCTGAAGATGTTTTCAGTCAAGCTCTTCTGTGGTTTGGGTCCTGTTGGATACCATGTACTAGGATTCCTCTGTGCTGGAGTACCTTATCTACCCACTCACAAAAGCAAGGTTTGAATCGGAGTGCGATGCCCAGTTCTTGGGATATCAACAGTCTTGATTAACGCATCAAATCGTTTCCGTGAATGAGCAGTGCAGAGAGCCTCACCTCTGATAGCCGATTACCTTGGTGACCTATTCAAGTGGCTTTGCACTGACTTTGGGGTACCCAAGTGGAAATAGGCTTGTCTTCTCTCCACTGATGGAAGCGTGGTGGAGTAGATGCTAAACCTTGATACTAACTCCTGCCCTGGGCCTTCCTTAAGCTGTCCCTGCTCTACAGTGAAACTGCTGTAATACTACTGGACCTAACAGGCTGGCTTTATAGCTTATTTGCTCTGGTAGTATTTTAAATAAATCCTTGAGATGGATGAAGTGAAAGAGAATCTTTCTTCTGCCCATCGTTCCAGTCTGACTAGACAGCTTTTTCCAGAGCTATCATTCTCCTTTCCTACTGAATTACAACGTTTGGAAAATAAACTCTAGAAGACTGTCCTGATAGCTGTGCTGAACAGTCTGGCCAGACATAAGTATTTAGTTTGAAAATTTTTCAAGAAACTAACCATCCAAGTGACCAAGCATTTCCTGGAATTGTATCCCAGGTAGTTGTTAGATTTACTTAGCACATACTGTTTTGAATGCATTTCTCAATCAGTGTAAGTACAATTGACTGTAGTCTCTTTTAATAATCAAGTTCTGCAGGGCAGTTTCTATGTACTGTTGTATTTCAAGACCTGTTATTTGTGTCCTTTCCTTCCATTTAAATTCTGAAGCTTTTGCCAGTGGGACAGCCTCAGGCTTATAAAGCTGTTGTCCTGCTGGCTACAGCCAAGTGACTGGGTGTGCAGAGCTGCCAAGTGTGGCCTGCTGTTGAGTTTTTGTGCTTGTGCCTCTCATGGCAACATGTTAGCACCAAAAGGCAGAAGCTCTGAAACGCAGAGGGCTGTAGGAAAAGCAGGTTCAGCTAGTTCCATGCTGTTGCTAGAAATCCAGGAAAGTTGTCTGTTTGCTGGGGGTTATGTGACTGGCTTATGCTAGTTTTGCTGAGTACCAGCAGCCAAATTCTGCTGGGCCCTTGGTGGTTTGCCTGGGTATTGAAAAACATTTGTATTGTCTTCCTGTTGCCATGTTCACATGCTGCTGCAGTGTCCCAAGAGGTGCACAGGCTAAGGTCTGAGGAGAGCTGATACCTAGCTGCAGCACCAGCCTGCTAATGCACAATTGGGCAGAGAAGGTGGTGCAGCCTGATTTGAGTGCCTTGGGTCCTAGTGGTCCCCTTTGCTCTGCTGGGATGGGCAAACACCCCAGCTTTCTGCCGGGAAGCTGAGAGTCATGAGGAGCAGGCTCACCAAGCACATTCCCAACCCTGTACCGTCCACAGGCAGCATGGACAAGTTGGATTCTGGACTCATCTGTGCTCTGCCTGCCACCCCCATCTCAAACGTGGATAGAAGTGATGGGCCAAGTGCAAGAGTACACTTGGCTTTGTGCTCCCTTTCCACCCTCTTGTTTCTCCCTCTCTCCTCTCTTCTAGCTAGCTAGAATTGGATCTTTTGGGTCAGACAGCAAAGGAATGGCCACTGCAGTTTGGTCTAGATGGGAACAGTTGGGCATGGCAGCTGAATGACTTTCTGAAATGTGGTTCTTAATCTGTGCAAAAGCACTTCCAACCCAAAAGTATCCTTCAGTTGGGTCTGCAGAGGTGCTATGACAACACAAATCTTTT